CCACCACTAAACCACCATACTAACTTATCACTACCAATACACTACACCCTCAATTGCACAACAACAACCCCACCACACACCACCACACCACACCACCACCACACACGCCCAACCACCACACCACACGCCACCAACAACAACAACAACCCAACACAAAACAATAACAACATCAACAACCAACCCACAACACCCATTTGTTAGAATAATTTCCTACATTTGGGCCCGTTGCAGCAAAAATTACTGATAAACATAGTTTAATAATTTCTTCCTTTTGGTGTCCCCGCCAGTTCATGCGTGGTAGCTAAACAGACGTTTTTGCCGTGGTATTAGTGGGCGGCGGCGCCGCCCGTCCGGTCCTCGCCCGCTTGCTTTTCCAGTGGTCACTTCCCGCTGTTTTCGCTTATCGGGCCGTTCCGCAAAGCTGTCTGCGGCCCCCTCTTACCTGGGGGGCCTCGTCCTTAACTGCCCCTCCCGGCCTGCTGCCGTAAGTTACCCGCAAAACCATGCACTGTCCCGGGCCGCCCTCTCCGGCCGTAGCCCGCCAACACTGCGCCCACAGCGGCTTGGCCCAGCTACTTTCATTTGTTTCCTCCCGCTAAAGGTGTTTCCCTTCACTGCTTGTTTACATTTCCTCACCTACTCTTCATTTGTCCCGTCAAAGCCCGAGTGGCCGTAAACCTTATTTATGGTCGTAGGTGAAGTGCCTCCTTGAATGTTGTCCCCCAAAATAACGTGGATTTCCAAGGAGTATATTTCGTTTGTGGCCTGAACTCCCTTAGAAAAATATTGCGAAAAATAAATTTGCTTTAATGGACCCAATTAAAAGAAAGCGGGAATGATGCGATTTGTTTGTGGACTAAATTTTGGTAAAGTTATTAGATTTAAAAGCCTTTTTAGAATGGTAAATTTGGGATAGCGAACTTGCTTCTTGTGGTTGGTGGATTCCCGGGCTCTTATCAAACGGTCCGAGGCCAAAACAAGTGAATTTGTAACTTTTCGTTGAAAATCATCCTCAGTTTCTGTAGCTTGTGAGGACGAAGAAATGTTCAGGCAGGCCGGAAGGTTTCCGCTATTTAACGGGTGAAGGGGAATAACATCATTTACAAAACCATAATTGTCCTCTCTTTCATTGGGAACTTTAAAACTAAGGCCCCAGGCCCTGGGAGGGACACCGTTAACAATTCCAGCAAAAATTGGGGTCGGTTGACTGCGTAAAGTGCCAATGCCCGTTACTGGTTTATTCAGATTTCCAAAGGTAATTATCCCTTTTTTGTTTTTTAATATATGCCTTTGTACAACGCCGAAATGTTTCCTTACCTATTTTGTGAAGAAGAGTCTATTTTTTAAAACAACGGTAACATTTGGTTCGAAACACAATGAAAAAGTAACTTAAATTGTTTTTAAGAATAAAATAAAGGTAAATTTAATAGAAATTCGTTATTTTAAATTCCTAAATTTAATTATGAAATGGTATAATAAATTAAGAACTTCTTTCCAAAAAATAATGCTAAAACTTGAAAGTAAAATAGTACTAAAATCAATATTTTTGCCTAAAGAGGATGATTTTAGCGAATTCTTTCAATTTAGGTCCTTTCGTCGAAACTACAATGAGAACCATGGTGGAAAGACACATGAATCCAAACGAAAAAGTTTTTGAAAAGCAGTTTGTCCCAAATTCCGCAATTTAAAGGCAAACTTCCGACCTAGCTCTTCAGAAATATTAGGTAATATAAATAAGAGGCAGGGTTTAATTGTTCTAATAATTTTATTTCTATTAAGGATATTTCTTTGAACTAATCACTTTACACTTTGCGGAAAAAATTTTTCCCTCAGCATGTTGGCGTTTGGTTTTTGGTAAAGCCCGACCCGGGAAGGTCCCCGAGGGCCGGCCCTAGCGCGGTTGGGTTAACCGACTCAAATCGGCAAAGAGTGGCGGGGTTCCGAGTCCCGCCGTGGACCATGGTTTTTGTTTTGTCGCTTGTCCCTTTTTCATTGTAATGTGGTTGTTGTCCCGCGGAAGGGCCTTGGTGGGAGTGTGGCTGGCCAACAACAGACCGAGGAAGCCCCACAAGCGTGTCTAGTGGGGTCCAACACATTAATATGAGTTGAGGGACATTGAGGGTTACTGCGTCAGATAATCCGAAATCGACAAACCTCTGAAAGCCCGTAAAAGCCCCCAAGGACCGAAAAAATGTTGAGGTTTGGTTATAGTAAATTTTTAAACGAATGGTGGCCCTTTTTTTAGAAGTTTTAAAAAAAAGCATTATTCCCGGTAGGCATCATTGTATGTCCAGTAAACGCAATAGAAGTATGTAAAGCTTAATTGACAACTCAATATAAGTCCCAATTGACCCCGTAATGTTTCCTTTCAAAGGAGAGTCCCTCGATACAAAACTCCAAATTATCAATGGACCGAATTAATGCGACCCCACGAATTTCTATATTAAAATTATTATTATTATTATTAATTATTTTATTATTATTATTTTTTATTAATTATATTCATTAAAAAAATAGAACAAAGTTGGAACTGGCAAAAAGTGGGGGAAATTAATATCATTACCAATTGACCAAATGAACCTTGGGTTTTATTTTGCGTTATTAATTTTTGCCAAAATATAACTAAAATGTTCTTCCAAATCGCAAAGATATTTCCCGATTAAGGCGCTTAACTGCACAAAATTTCCTTCCTTGGTGGCTACAAGCTGAATGTTGAAGGTTGTCCCCGCGATTGCACCCGTGCCATTTTCGAGAAGCGGCTTTGTTTTTCACTCGAGCCCATCCCTCCTCCCGTGGCGCTTTGCTAATCTCATTTCGCCTCTCACGGACCGCCCGAAAACCGCCAAAACGACCGCCTCGGTGGGTCCTTGTTCTCGGCCCGCCGCGGGCGGTGGCGCGGCCCGTGGCGCCTCCCCGGCTGCCGTAAAATCGCTTTCCCGCGACGCGGAAGGCCCCGGGCTCGCATCCCATCCGCCCCCCGGCCAATTTGTCCGCAAGCGCCGGGCGAACCGCCCTGAAACTTTCCCACGCAACACCGCGGCCTTCCCCCTTGGCGGGCCAAACGGGGCCCTGGTCCCGACGCGCCCGCCGCCGCCGCTTTGGCGGCCCCACTGCCGCCCCGCCGCCGCGGCCCCACCAATTTTGGCTTGCCGCTGCCCCGCCGCCCCGCCGGCACCCCCGCCCGGCCGCGACTGCCCATCCCCCACCCGCCGCGTCCCCGGCCACCGTCCGCCCGCCGCCGGTCACCGACACCGTCCACCGCCGACCCGTCGCTGCCCGCCCGCGCCACCCCGCCCCCCACGCATCCCCGCCATCGCAATCCCCCGCCACCGCCGTCCCGCCTCGTCCCACCGCCCCACCGGTCCCCGGCTCCACCGGCCCGCCCCGCCAACCGGTCCCCGCCACCGTCCCCACCTTGCCCATCCCCGCTGCCCCCGCCCCATTCGACCACGCCACCACCAATGTCCCCAGCCGCCCCCCGCCAGCCCAACGTCCGTCGTCCGTTTACTACAGACGCCCGAATCCGCGGGTGGAAGCAATTAGTCAAAGACTATCTGCCTTGCTACCAGTATTTTAAACAATTACGGTTGGTCCCCCCCGTAAAGGGGCAATTGGCTTTCGCCGGCGTTAAACATCCCGGGGTTGCGCCCTTGGTTCGGTCACTTTAAACCAAAGAATCGGCAGATGTCTGCGAATGGCCGCCTTAACCTTTCGTGGACTTCTTTCACGAAGTTTCCAACGAATTAGGCCTAGGGGCACCTGTTTTTGCGGCCGCGGCCTTCAGTAGAAACCATCCCAAGCATTCCACCTGGATGGACGAAGGGGAAACCACGAAAATCCCGGTCCAGGAATTGTAATGGTAGGGGGTTTAAAACCCGGGCCCCTCGCTGGATGCGAAGTTAGCGCGGATACGATTCCTTTATAAGCCCACGCAACAATAGGGGAATTGTGGCCTCCTTTTTTTTCTTGAGTCTCTTTTTCTTTCGCTTTGGGAAAGGAAAGAACTACCCAAGCCGTCAATTTTTCCAAGATAAGGTCAGCCGGTAGAATTTTTCAGACAAATGGTTATTATTATGGGGAGCGACAGATGTTTTTGCGCCATTTGCAATTTTCCGTTTAGCACCTAGACAATTCCATGGTCCCCAAAACGGTGGGTAGCGAACATTCAATGTTCCAAAAGCGAGGATTCAATTTCACGAATTCCCTTATACGACGTTATCTATTTCGTTACCACCTTCAGAATTACGTTTTTTACAGGTTTTAAGTTAACATGATAAGTTTTTTACACGTAGTTATTTAATTTTTTCTTCCTATTCTTCTCTTCCTTCCTTCCCTTCCCTTCTTTTCTTTCTTTTCTTTCCTTTTTCTTTTCTTTCTTTCTTTTTCTTCTTCTTTCTTTCCTTTTCTCTCCTTTTCTTTTCTTTTCTTTCTTCTTATTCTTTCTTTCTTTCATTTCTTTCTTTCCTTTCTTTTCTTTCTTTTGTCTTTCTTTTTCCTTTCTTTCTTTCTTTTTCTTTCTTTTCTTTCTTTCCCTTTCTTTCCCCTTTCTTTCTTTTGTGGTAGTGGGGGTGGTAGTGGTGGTAGTGGGGGTGGTAGTGGTGGTAGTGGGGGTGGTAGTAGTAGTGGTAGCGGTGGCTGTCTCTGCGTCTGTCTCTGTGGCTGTCTCTGTGGCTGTCTCTGTGGCTGTCTCTGTGGCTGTCTCTGTGGCTGTCTGTCTGTGTGTGTAGTGGCTGTTTCGCTTGAAGAGCTCTGAAACGAGTGAAAGCTGCTGCACCCACGCGCCCTCCTTGATCCTGTTGGTTCACTCGTTCATCGGCAGATGGACCATTAAATCACAGAAGAAAGTGGCGTCTGCTGCCAGTGTTCTTCAAGCTATCCACGCTTGGAAGACCCACGAAGGTCACGTTCTGAGATGGCAAAGTTATCAATTCACTAGAGCTGATTGATTAGAGACTGTGGGCGCGTCAACTGCTAAGGTCATTAGTGCCGTAAGCCAATCTATCTTCGGCAGGTCTTCCGGAAAGTGTGGTAGTGTAGTGTATGTAAATGTAAGTGCGAGTAAGTAAGAGGAAAGATTAAAATAAGGAAGAGGATAGAAAGATCTAGCATCCGATCAGAGCAGTGGATCGCTAGAATTTTCCTTCTGGAATATTCCTACAGGATCAGACCTAGCTATCTTGCTACCGTCGAAAATCCGGCTACCGGCGGGACTCAAACCTAGAACCTCACGGTCTTTCTTCTTTAATATAGTAATTTGACTGATAAAATTATAATGCGGGGGTGGTATATGAAAAACATTCTGAAATCGAGATTGTCCATCTGATAAACATATGATTGATTAGTTATTAAGTATCATAGTTACAAAATTGTGTCAGAATCAACTCAGTATTTGTGTCATGTATTAAACATTTATTTCCAATAATACATTTTTTTAAAATATATATTTAATAATAATAATAATAATAATAATAATAATAATAGTGGTGGTGCTACAACAACACTTACTTCATCTCATTAATAAAACATTTGGAATAGAAATAATTAAAAACAATAAAAAAATAATTACATAAAACAAATTTTAAATGTTTTTTTAAATATGTTTTTTTTAAGATGTTAAAATTGTCTTTATTTTGCCCAAATTCACCAAAAATGTTTCATATTTTCGAAAACAAACATGACCATATTTCAATATCTGTCTTTAAAGAACATATTTCATTAAAAACTCCCTATCATCAATATTGTAGTTGTAGCCACACGCTAAAAAATTGAACGTAAGCAATTTTCGGAAAATCAGGGATTTCAACGAACATCAGACCTGCACCATTATCTTAAGTGATCTTTACGCTATCCGAGGACAAAGTTTAATAAAAAATTGGAGCCAATTTTTAGTAAGATTTTGAAAAGGTTTTTGAGGTATCATGTAAATTGTTATTACATCCAAACGAAAATCAAAACATCCAATCGAAACTCCCAAAGTCTTGAGTTCGTTGAGATCGATCGGAGAATATCAATTTTGGAAAAAATCGGCTGAACGGCTTAGGGAATAGTGTTGAACACAGACGGACAAAAACTTTGTCGTCAATCGACTTTTTTGGTATCGAGGCCCCACAAAATATTAATTTTGGCTATACGGCGTGTTGGAGGAAGTAATTTTCGACATAAAAAAGCATGATTTATTCACTTTCTACCAGGGTCCGCCAATAAGAGTTTTTGTGTCGAAAATTCGGCGCAAGATTACAATACTTTCTTTTGTTACAAAATAAGTCCGAGAAAGTAATAGTAGTAATAAATGACAAGAACTTTTGTTTAAAATAAGGCGCAACCATGGATTTACTGCCCCAGGTTCTTTGTGTCTTCTAGACGTTCCCGCAAACAACCGCCAAAAATCTATGAATGATAGAGAATTTTAACGGAATTATCCATTTCTATATTATTGACGGCGTAGACAGAACTATTTTATTTCAGATTCAGTACCACTTCAACAATTTATTCACAATTTGTTCAGTATCACTTCAAAATGTTTCTCGTAATATACTATTAGAGATGTGTTCTTAATGCCACTTCTTCAGGAGCAACCAAGTCGTGGAATGACATAACGCAAACATCAATTATTACTACTATTCACTAATTCTCCGGTATTTTTTTTGTTAAGAAATATAATCCATATTTAAAACAGAATATGTTTTGATCATTAACTTTACTGTATTTCATCTTTTACACATGTGATTCATTCATACTTTTAGGAAGGGTTATAACTCCTTTAAACCCGATTTCCAATTTAACGCAGTAATTTCACAAAATACACGAATTTTTCTAGAAAAAGATCTCGAAACTACTAAAGAACAGTGATGAGTTCATCTGAATAACGTCTTCGACTAAGGAAAACTATATTTAAATTTCCAACGTAAGGTTTTTGAACAAACAAAAAACTGCAGGTAAGACATTCAACCTCGAAGAGATAATGCTCTCACGTTATACAGTTTGCATTTGCCATCAGCATTTAAACCATTTTGCACGGCTTGGCGCAAAATGATAGGGAGAGCTCCATTATTTGCAACAATCAAGAAATCGACCACACAACTCCCGGACGAATCCCACGTCCCACGGCGTTTCCCGGAGGTTTCCACTGTCATCGCAGAGATTTACGAGGCATTCTGCGCACGCGCAGCCGATGATTTGGGCGTAATTGCGCCAAGATTTAATTCTTGAGCCTTTCATCATGTAAATCAGCCCCCGAGGAAGGCGACTTGCAGGTCGGTCGGGACCGCGGGAACGAGAAAAAAAATTGAGATTCAGCGCACGCTCCCAATCAGGATGTGACACAGGCGCGCGGCGGAGATTTGTCACGGAGTTGCAAATGCGGGCGATGTTGGTGGGGGCGGCGGGCCAGCGGGGCGGCGCGCTGCGTATTAGCCGGGGGTGGCGGGGGCGGT